ATGGAAGGGTAACTGATGTGATACAGCAATCTGTATACGGGATAAAATTGGGAGTTCATAACTCACTTGAATCAAACTGTGAAATATGATATATTAAGAACTATGTAATGTTTTGAACGACCAACAATAAAAAAAAATTTTTTAAAATCATTTTAGTAAAAAACAATAAACATTATTCTTTCTATGACTCTTTTTATGTACTCTTTTTATATGTTTCCTATATATGTAAGTATGAGTTGGTTTGTATTATTGTTACCATTGGAAATGTGGCAAATTGAATTAATTCAAGTAGCAAAGAAACTGCAAAAAATCTTTATCTATTTTTCGAGCTCAGCATCTCTGAGTAGTTGCTGAAAATTGTTATATCCCAATACTGTGAATCCTGAAGACCTTTTTCCATAATCTTTTCCTTGAAACTGCCCAGGTACCTCAGAGAATCTTAACTTCTCACAGACTAAATTAGCAAGTTACCGTACAAATTATAGTGATCTCTCAACAATAGAATCTTTAAGGCACAGTTTCTTTTTTTTTTTTTTTCAAGCTATGAAAGTGGCAATGGGAATGCAAAAGCAAATCACAGCCAAAAGAGGTCAGATAGATGCCCTTCAGAACAAGATCCAGTTTTTAGAAGAGGCCATGACAAATTCGAACAAGGTGAGTCCCTGTCTTTAGAATAGGGAAACCAACATGCTCACTCATTAATGTACTACAAGACAGAATGAGATGGCAGACATACTACGTGCAATGGGGAAAAGAGAAAAGCTTATTTTTTACTTACAGAATAAAGGAAAAACTCCTCCTAAAGGAGCATTGAAACAGGATCTTGGAATATAGCTAGTGATTTATTTATTACCACCACCACCAACACTTTATTATTATTACTTGTAGTAATGGGGCCTCACACGTTATGCAAGTGCTCTACTACTGAGCTTCATCCTCGGTCCTTTTGTTATTTTGAGATGGGGTTCTTGCTAAGTTGCCCAGGCTGGCATTGAATTTGAGATCCTGCTGCCTCAGCCTCTTAAATTGCTGGGATTAAAGGTGTGCACCATTACACCTGACTGTAGCCAGTGTTTTAAATGGCAGAAACAAGAAAAATAACATTCTGGGTAGAGACAGGGAATAGTTATAAACAAAGTACAATCCGTTCTGTTATAATGTGACATAGGTGTTCCTAAAAACCACTGTACTATGCAAAATTGTGTAATAAAAACCACTGGATTGGGGAACAATGGAATTAAGAGCACACTAACAAATTTCATTTGTGAAACACTGAAAAACAGGAAACTAATAAAAACAAGTAGTACAGTTTTACGCATGTTGATAAGAAATGCTACAGTTAAGTATGGCATTTTATCTTGAAAAGACCTGTAGTTTGCTTATGTGAGAGTGCATGAAGAATTGTAGCTTGTACATTATTGTGAAGGGGTGGAGGAAGGTTTTCTATAACATCAGATGTGGCTCATAACACAGAGTAAACTGAGGAGCTGGCAGATAGGTATTTAAGGAGGGCATGAAGGCTTTTTGTGCATTCCTGTAGAGCTCTGTTTAGTTAGGTGCAGTTTTCTACTTTGATTTAGTGTTTCTTGTGACTGAAACTATACTTAAACAAACATGAAATTTACATTGTGGGCTTAAATGTTCCCTGATATCAATCACTTTGGAGAAAATCTGAATTTTTAAAAGATTGCTTACAACAGAACTGACTATATGAACGTAGGAAAGTAAATGGTATAAGTAGAAAATATAAGTGCAATTTAAGTAATTGCTGGTTTGTTACTCATGATGAGCGCTGGAACGCTTAGAATGCAGTGAAACATTCACAAATATTCACATTCATCATATCATATTCATTTTCATCATATGGATTTATTTCCTCTTTTTTCAGTTCTTTCTCCTTTTTCCCCCCTCATTTTCCACTCTCATTTCATTTTATCCCAAACTTCTTCTTTCCTCTTTCCCCTTCTCATTATTTACCTCTGGGAATCCAAAGCACTGCTCGCCTTCCCTTTTGGTACCGAAGGCTTTAAGAGGGTACTGCCTGCTCTCACCAGGATACCTGCTCCTGCCTAAAGAAAGGTATTCATTAGAGCTCAGTGACATCCCTCAAACAAATAGGAGAACACCTGTAAAATTAATCTTTCTTTCTGAAGCCTTTTCCATCCATCCTAATCACCATAGGAAAAAGCATTTGCATACAAGATGTGCATTGTAGTGACAACCACCTCTTACCTTACTTATATTAAACATTTTTCACATGAGAAAATATAAACTGATGTTTCAATTTTACCTTGAAAACTGTAAACATCTTTTTTCTGGGTTTGACTATCTGAGTATGTGTTTTGGGAGGGGGAGGTGCTGAAGATTAAACCCAGGATTTCTCACATTCTAGGCCAGTACTTTACCACTGAGCTACATGTTTTTTATTTTTTTATTTTGAGACAGGGCCTCACTATGTTGCCCAAGCTGTCCTCAAACTTGTGATCCTCCTGCCTCAGTCTCCTGGACTGATAGGTGTGCACCACTGTACCTGGCCCCTCCATAGTGCTTTTTTTTTTCCTGGGGGAGGGGTGTACCTGGGATTGAACTCAGGGGCACTCAACCACTGAGCCACATCCCCAGCCCTATTTTGTATTTTTATTTGAGACAGGGTCTCACTGAATTGCTTAGTGCCTCAGTTTTGCCAAGGGTGGCTTTGAACTCGAGATCCTCCTGCCTTAGCCTCCAGTGCCACTGGGATTACAGGCATGCGTCACCATGCCTGACTCCATAGTGTTTTTTTAAAGGAGTAAACTAGTTATAATTAAATTTTATTTAATACCAAAGACAGTATACCAGTAAGCTTATTTTTATCACTAGATTGACAAATTGAGGACAGGGACTTTGTGTCTCATTTGTTTTTATGTCAGAGTGTACAGTAGGCATTTAAGAAATGAATATTCAACCTTGAAATAAAATATAAGCCAATAAAACTTTAAAACAAATGCATCTTCTTTAAATCTCTTCTTTTATGTTTAAAATAAATTTCAGTTTACCAGAACACACTATTTTTGATCATTATTCCATATTTTGTAGATTTCATGAAAGATTTCTTAAGCCTAAAAAGAAATAATACGAATAATGACTAAAATAGAGAATATGTTATAGTACAGTTCTAATAGCTCCCAATTCCAACTCAGAAGCAATTAAGTGATTTAAATAAACCTCATTCATTTCCATATATGAATACACTACTGTGAATCTCACCATCATGTACATACACAAGATTGGGATCCTAATTAAGTAAGATATATTCTAAGCTTGTATAAATATATCAAAAAAAAATTTTACTGTCATGTATAGCTAAAAAGAACAAATAAATATATACATCTAATTCAAATCCTTTAATAAAATTTTAAAATTTTCATCTCCTCTCAACATCTACACCAGCAGATTATTTCTGTTATTTGTCTCCTCTATAATTGTAGGAGAAACATTTTTTAAAAGAAGAAAAGTGTAAACTCAGTCAGGAATTGAGCACAGTTGCAACAGAAAAAAACAAAATGGCTGGAGAGCTAGAAGTTCTGCGATCTCAGGAACGTCGTTTGAAAGAAAAAGTTGCTAATATGGAAGTTGCTCTTGATAAGGTAGTTACTAACTAAATATGTGAAGCAATTGCCATCCAACTTGTTACTAACTTGAGAGAATTGTTCAGAATGAAAGTTCTATGTCAATAGGAACTGAATCCATCAACTTGTATCATATCTCCAGTACGTAGCACAAAATTAAAAAGCAATATTTTATAGAAGATGCTCTTCTAAGGTTTAAAAACATAATCATAATATGTTTTTGCCTAATTACCTTTTCCAGGCTAACACAGCCCTTGGAGCAGTTAGATATAAGATGTAAGATAATCCTGGCATCCATAGTGGCCTGAATAAGCAAAAATGTCTCCATGAGCACATAACTTATCCCTAAAGAATGGTGTGACCATTGGGAAGAATATAGCTTCTTTTTAATGTAAAGAAAGTAATGTTAATATCTGGAACATTGTGGGGTCCGGAAAGTGCAGGTTAAAACACAGGTTAAAGAACAAGAGGAAGCAGTGATACTATGTTTACCATTGCAATTTATCAGGGAGGATAAACCTAGTTTTTTTGTCACCTAGAAACTCTGGAAGACTAAGATTGTACCCAAACCAATCCTTGATCCCGAAGAAATTAGAGCCTTCATGGTCAGATAAAACAATCTGTGACCTCATCTATGCCATCTTTGTTTCTAAAATCATGTTATATTGATATAACAAATTTTAGTTGTGTTTATTTTTATTCTTTGCTAAGGCTGTTTGCTCATTCTATGCTTAGTTCATTCATTCTTTGAGTGTCCTTCACATGCTGAACGTATGCTGAAGATACAAACGATAAAGATTTGGCCTCAGTTTACTGAATAAAACAGATGAATTAATATAATCATAATTTAGTACTAGGAGTGGTTCATTTCCTTGAAGAGATGGCAGCCCTGCATTTAGAGGTTAATGAAACAGAAGTTTATAAAGAATGGCAGATAAGCCCTTTGTGGTTGCTTGATTATAGGCATCTTTGCAGTTTGCAGAATGTCAAGATATAATCCAGCATCAAGAACAAGAATCTGTGCGTCTAAAACTTCAACACACTTTGGATGTAAAGGTAAGGATTTCTTTAAATTATAAATAGCAGTTTAAGCAGAATTAAAACCTTTGTTTGATAATCTTTTAGATTTTCTTCATGTACTTTACATACACTTAAATATACTTTAAGCATTATTTGATACTAGCAATTATTAAAATCTGTGCAAACATCCTTATATATTATAGCCATACTTTTTATGTAGGATAACAAATGGAAACACCACATTTTATCCTAAGTTGACAGTAAGCAAGTAAAATACAAGTACCTGCCTGGGGAATACCTAAGGGAAGAGCCTTCCACACAGAGGCATGGAGCAAGGGCAAAGACTCAAAGAACTAATGTTTGGCTTATTTGGGAAATAACAAAATGTGTTTTTTAAGAACAGTATACTTTACACTGAAATATGTATCTGTTTTCAGAAGTATACTACAAGTTGCCAACATATTTTAAAGTCTTTTTCTTTTTCTTCTTTGTATGTATAGGGCGTGGTAGAGGATCCTGGGATAGAACCCAGGGCCTTGTGCATGTAGACAAATGCTCTACCAGGGAACTGCATCCTTAGCCTTTAAAGTCTTGATTCGGATTTCATCTGTGAAGATTAAAAAAATGCATTTTGATTTCACAATTCTTTGGAGTTGTATGAAGGTACAATTTTGCTCATGTCTGTATTGTTTTCCAGGATCTTCAGGGCCCTGGATATACCGCAAATCCTTCATTGAAACCACACCTTCTCCAGACAGCATCTGCTATCCGTTCTCATTCTAATGTACCATCTTCCCAGTCCACAGTCAGCTTCCTATCTCATGTAAGTAACCAATCTTTAATCCATGACTCAATAACATAATATGTAAGTAACTTTAAACTGGGAAATTTTCACTAAAAAATAATAAGTAGCATTTTCAGTTACTAGGTTTTAGATTTGTGCATTTTCCTATAAATCCAATGGAGACCATGTGAATGAAAATACTTTCTTCAGTATTTGGTATTTTACTGGGGAAAACAAAACTGAAATATTCAGTATGAAATTAACAATAATGATTAAATTATTTAATAGCATTATACTGAATTCTTTAATTATTTCCATTACAAGCATTTTTAGATTACAAAGCAAACATTGATATGGCTAAAACAAGCATCACTTCGAATGCCAAGGGCAAGTTGGTACATTTAATACTCTATCATGTTGAAAATTATTTACCGTGTATTGTTTCCTCATGAATTTATTTTAAATAAACCATTTTATTAATCATAAATTTTTTAAGCCCTTTAGTTAAAATTTTAGTAACTTTGGAAATTTTTTAGTTTAAATTTAATTTCATAATTTTAAAGCTCAAGGAAAAAATATATACAATGTAAAATTTAGGTTTTGTTTCCTTGGAAGATATAAATTCCTTATAATCACTATTCAGCTGTAACTCTAGGTAACTGAGACTTATTTAATCAATTTTACTAATTAAAAATCCTGTCTGATGTATGGTAGCAAGATCACCAGTACCATTACTAGTTGTCCTTAGTACTAGTCATTTCATCAGTACCGTTTAAATCAAAATTGTTTATTAATTAAATGACTAAAAGTTGAAATGGACTCTCATCCATTTAAGATGTATGCTCTGATAAATAAACTACCACAAAGAATCTTTTACTAAGTAATAGAATAATTATAATAATATTAGAGGTTGAACATTGTCTCTCTGTCTCACTGGAGTTCAGAAGATGGCAGGTGAAGGGCAGGAAACTACAGCTTTTTAAGTGTTCTAAAATTGTTTTAACTTTTAAAAATATGATCATGTTACATTTACAAAAATTAAATTAACCCCCCCAAAAGTAATGAAACAAATTATAACAATGAAACAAATTATAACAACAAAGATCATCCTACTAGAGATTGTTGGGGCCATGAGTGTATCTTTAACTTCTTTCTGTGACCTTGGGCAAGTCTATTAGATATATCTGTTAGATATATTCATCTCTAATAAAAAATTTCTGGACAAGATGATCTCTAGGGTCATTTAGCATATATGAGGTCCTGGGTTCAGTCTCTAGCGCATAACAGAGGAGAGGGGAAGGGAGGAGAGAATTAGCAAATTTTACCTAGCTGCTTAATACATCACTATATTTCACTAGGAAGAATCTTGTATTATTCAGCTTTCCATCACTGTGACAAAATACCTGAGAAAAACAACTTACAGGAGGAAAGTTTTATTTTTGCTCACAGTCTCAGAGATCTCAGTCCATAGTCAGCTGGTTCCATTGCTTTGAGCCTGAAACAAGGCAGAATATAATGGTAGAAGAGCATGGAGAAGGGAAGCTGCTCACTTCATGTCATCCAGGAAGTGGGGGCTGTCAGGGACAAGATATAGTACCCAAGGGTATGTGTTCCCAAGCACCTACTCCCTTCAGCTAGCTCTCACCACCTCTCATTATTCCAGTCATCTATGAATCTATCAATGGATTAATCCATTGATGAGGTCAGAGCCCTCATGATCCAATCACTTTCCAAAAGCTCCACATCTGAACACTGTTACCTCAGGGACCAAGCCCTCCACATGTGATCCAAACTATAACAGATTTCATTCATCACTAAAAATAGTACCAGTCATATGTCTGTTAAAGTGTTTGGCTTTTTTGTTTTGTTTTGGTAGTGGGGATTGAACCTAGGAGTGTATCACCAGCTACATCCTTTTTTATTTTGGAATGGCCTTACTAAGTTGAAAAGGCTGGTAGCCTTGAACTTGCTGTCTCCTCCTGCCTCAGCCTCCCAAGTAGCTGGTATGTCAGGTATATACCACTGTGCCCAGATCACATTTTTAAATAACAATTCTAATAGTAAAAATTAGCTATACCTCTTGGGAGACTGAGACAGGAGGATCACAAGTCTGAGATTAGTCTGGGCAATGCAATAAGATCCTGTTAATAATAATAATAAACTGTCAAGAATGCTTTCTGCAATTATAGTGCTGAGGTGTATCTCAGTGGTAGAGTACATGCTTAGCATGCACAGGCCCTAGGTTCAATCCCCAGCATCAAAAAGAACAACATACATGCTTTGTTTTGTTCACTGATGTGTCCCAAGTACCTAGAACTCACTCTCTTCAACTAGGAAAGAGTAGGTATTCCATTTGTTTAACAGGTGAATGAATTTACTGTAGAGAATTTCTTCAGATTTCCATTGTTTCTTCTGATTAAGTCAGTTTTAAATTATACTTTTGCTCTTTGGAGGTAATTTTGTCCTGAGTGCTCTTAAGATTCTGTTTTGGGTTATAACAGTTGTCTTACAGCATGCTTAGGTATCTGTCTTTGTATCTGTCCTTAGGATTCACTGATCTTTCTGGATGTATATATTGATATGTGCATTGATTTTAGAAATTTTTATGCCTTACTTTATTAATTACTTTTTCTGCCCTATTTCCTCTTTTTCTTCTGAGACCCCAGTTACACCTATTTTTATGTGTCCTTATACTTTTTCCCTTTTGTCTATCCTTTCCTCTCTCTACTTCAGTCTGATTTTTTTGTAATTTATTTTCCAGATCATTCATTATCTCTACACCTGAGTCCAGCATACTACTAAAGCCATCAAATAAGTTCTTAATTTTACAAGTTATCATTTCTCAATATGAGTTATCCATATTGAGAAACCATAATATGAGATATCCATTTAATTCATTTATTACACTTCTGTACAGAAAGGTTTTTTCTTATACTATTAAATAACCATGATGGTCTGAACGTTTCTGTCTTCCTGAAATTCAGTTTGAAACTTAACCCACAAGGTATGGTATTAAGAAGTAGGACCTTTGGGAAGTGATTACATCATGAGGGCTTCACCCTCACAAAGGGGACTAGTGTTCTTTGAGAAGAGGTTCTGGGCTAGAGGATGGAGCTCAGTGATAGAGTGCTTGCTTAGCATGTATGAGGCCCTGGGTTTGATCCCCAGCACTGAAAAAGTAAATAAATAAGAGAGAAAGGTTCAAGGGAACTTTTTCACCCTTTCCCCCATGTGAGAGCATATGGAAGGCCCCATTTATGAAGAACAGACCCTCAATCTGCTTGATCTTGGAGTTCCCAGCCTCTAGAACTGTAAGCAATAAATTTTTGTTTCTTATATGCTACCCAGTTGATGGTATTTTGTGAAAGCAATCCAAACAGACTAAGATAGTAAGTATTTAAAATTTTGAAATAATTCCATTATCTAAATCTCCTCTAGGCCTATGAACCTTGTTTCTCTTGATTTCTAGTTTGTCTGGTTTCTTTGTTTCTCTTTTTAATAACTGAGTTATGGACACAGGAAAAAAATTAGAGAGATAATTTTGGTTCCTGGATAATACTTTTCCTTCATAGAGTATTTACATTTGCTTCTGGCTGGTAACTAAGTGAAGAACACTCACAATCCTATATCCCCTAACTCATTAAAGGATTGAAGTGATTCAAATTAAGGTTCTTATTGCAAAGTCTGAATTTTAACCAAATACCATCCACCTCTGATATAATTCCAAGTTTCCTCCCTCTAGCTTCTTGATTCTGCTGAAAGTTCATGGTTCATGGTATTTTCTTAGTCTCTCAGCAGCTTCTTTTAGAACTGGCAAATGTTTCTAGAAAAAAGTGACTCCAAAATTTCACTTGTCTGAATTTTGGCCATAATTCTTTGGTAAGCTCTCTAGGCTTACCAAAGAATTATGGCCAAATTTTTACTTTTTGTAGTCCTGGTATTGAATCCAAGGCTTATACAGGCTGGACAAACACTCTTTCACTGTGCTACACCCATAGCTCTAGGCAGACTTAGAAAAAAAATATTTTTCTTGTTAATTCTGAACAGAAGAGTTGATGACTGGAAACAGAAAAGTTCGATTATTGGAAAAACAATTCCTGTATTGTTATTCCTTGTTGATACAATTTTAGATAATACCTATAAACTGCTGTAGAGCATAAAAATCTGGCTCTCCTTTAGCCTCACACACTTATATGCACATGCACACATTTCTTTTCCTTATTTAACATTTAATTTCATAAATTTTGGTTAAATCATGTTGAGTGTTTACATATTTATGACTTTGTTAACAGTATTCCCTCACTGAATTGTGATCATATTTCTTGTTTTTTTTTCTTTTGCCTTTAGATTTATTTTGTTTTGGCTTACAGTTCCAAAACCTTGAACTAATTATCTCTCAATTTCTCTGAAAGAGAACTGTAGTGGTCCTTTTAGTCTGAGCCAGTGAATCAGTTATGTGAGCAGTTCCTTTGTTGAGTGTGCGTTTTAGAGCCCTCCGTCTTCCTGCTCTCATCTGGATTGTGCCTCTCTACGCCTGCTGCATAATTGCCTTCTTGGATTTTCCTCCACCAAAACCTGGAGAATTCCCTAATCTTTTTTTTCTGTTTTCAGGTTTACTTCCTTTCTTGGTTTCTTTCTTTCTTTTGATGGAGCATATAATGCCCTAACTTCCTGGTGTGAAGGATGCATTTCATTATTTTGTTTCCAAATTTTGTG